CAGACTTTAGGTGATAAAAAATTCTAGATTAAAATGGCATAAAAATCCACACGCGTCATCACATGCCGCTAGGGGAGCTTCCTTATTATGAACTGTTTCTTTTTTGTGCTTCTAAGCAAGTCAGAATAGGGATGGGCCATTAGCTGGGTGTGATGATATTTTTTGGGACGGATTCCTATGCACTATTTACATGACCTCCTGACCTCATGAAAAATCTTTAGCAGGGTGGTTTAGTTATATTGGCTTAAGTCTATCTCCAAATTCCTTAAAATGAATTTTTAGACCACATTGAAATATCACGAACACAAATGGAAACGTGGAAATTCATTCGATCACGTATTCAGTGAATTACCAAATACCAATTACCAACAGAGTGAGTTTCTAAAATATTTGAGAGTGATCTATAAAATAAATGAATTTTTTTTTATACAATTACGAAATATATTAAAATATTGGCTATTTCAGTAACAACATTAAATCTCAATAACTATTTTGACCAAACTTGTGTGCACTGAAAAAAATTGTGGAAGAAATTACGGTAAACATACCGGTACCCAAAGTGCCGGTAGGTTTCACCGTAAGATCTATTTTAACTGTGAAATTTTACGACACAAAGAATATGATCCGGAATTTTTTACCGTGTGTTTATTTTCTCATGAATTACAGTCAAATTCATTTTATTATTTAAAACAATGATTCGAAGTTTTGATGAATGCAAAATAATACTTTGAAACAATTTAACAATATATTTTTCTTAAAAAAGGAATTAACGCAACAATTTTCCTTTGAAACTTAAGTTTTAAATAAAATAAACGACTTGGAATTTATAAGAGAACAGCAATGACTATTTCTCCCCAATTTTAACTTAATGCCTTCCTATTTCAACAAAAGGACTAATAACAAACACTCAGAACGAAATGCAAGAGTCTGTGTATCCATGCAAATTATCAAATAATCAATTGCTCGACTAAATTCTAAACTTGCTTGGATACAGAATAATGTTTCAAATAGAGGAGGCAGCAAAGCACACATTTCAAGGTAAAGCAGGTACGTATGGGTTTCTCCCATGAGGTTCTCTATTGAGCTCTTGTTGTAATGGACGTTTCGTTATTATCGCAATAATGACGTGTAAGCGATTCCTGTTAGCTGCTTGCTTCTCTCTCAAAGCATAATTACTTACTTTAGTATTTAGCAACAGATCTCTCGGATTTAGTTCAAACCTGATTGATTGTATTGAATCTTATAACGAAGCAGAAGTACAAAGCTTAATTAGTGTATTTAAAGTATTGGAATTGTCGAGGCGAGGCAGTCTATCATTATTTTAAGTAGCCTACTGATTTACAGAGTATATTCGTTGTACATAATATTCTAGATATACAATATTTATAGAATTTTGAACTGAAACAATATATGAAATCGAATATTAAAATATGTATTTTGGAAACATTAATTTTTTTAATTGTTCAATATAGTACTTTTTCATGAATTAAGACGTGACATGACGCTATAGAACATGAAATATGCTTTTATATGTGTTAAAAAAAATCGCTTAAATTTTGGAATATACCAGTCAGAAAAGTATTCATTACAAGGTAGGCAGGGTTCCTCAAATATGTTCTCCATTGAGCACTTCATTTAAGAGTTGTCACGATATTATCGGAATAGAGGCTCGCGATATTTGTCAGCTGCTTGGTTCAGACTTAACAATAAAATAAAATAACCGACCTTCCCTTAATAGGCCATACGGAGTAATTTTTTAAATTCACAATTTAAGAAAGATCAAGTTTCACAACATAATAGGCAATGATACAGACAAATTACAACAAATAGGCAATGATACAAACAAACAAGTTATGTAATAATTCGCTACTAAAGGTGGGTCTGCGGCAATTACAAAATTAAGTTCATAATAAATAAACCATAAAAAAGTAAAATTATGCAAGGGGAAAAACACCAGTATTAGGCAACCAAGTATAAAAGATGATTTTAAAAATGAGAAAAACAGAAGTTAAAAGGTGTTGAGATAGATAAATCTAAGGGAACAATAAAATCAAGTAAATTGTAAAATCGAAAGACAAAAGGGCTTGTAAAATCAGAGGAAGTTAAAATCAAAAGGGCTTGCAAAGTCTATAACAGTTAAAATATATTAGAAAAGTGGTTAACAACAAGAGAAGCCAAAAGGCCAGGATAAAAGAACTTAAAATCAAAAACTGGATGCTAAGAACAAGGATAAAAGGTGATAAAACGTGATAAAAACAGTGAGACACCCGAATAAAATGAGAAATTGATAAAACCCAAGTGGACAAGATAAGTGTTTAAGTGTCTGGAGCAGGCAGGTTATGATGCTAGGTGATTTTGTTTGCCAGTACCTCTTGAAGCGTGGTTTTGATGATTGTTTTGATTGTTTTCCTGCAGGCCAACTCTGAGTAACACTGGTGTTGGTTTTTACCTTCAAATAGATCTCCACGGAGTTTCTGGAAGTAGGTGCGTCAAATGCGAGGTGATCTATTGTTAGTTCAATTTAGCAATAATTACAGTTAAGAGTTTTATTAAATAACCTGTGTTGGTGTACGAAAAACACCCCGTGGATGGTTAAAAATTGATTGAGATAAAAATCATCTTGCAGGTGTTTTATTGAAGGATCCATGAAAGTTTAAACGTCTGCCGGCCTCCATCAAAACTCTGTCACTATAATTTCCACTGTTTCATATTATGAGCCTTTAAAAAGGTTTTTATCTGGGCTGCTGTACTCGGGGCCTCAATATTGACCTGACCGATGCTGATGTCCTGTTTGACTGCCTGATCTGCCTCCTCATTGCCTTTTATCCCGTAATGGGGTTTTTCCCAATGGCACTTAATGTTTTATTTCCTCAGAAATTTCGTTTCTTCGATGATGGCCAGTTTAGGAGTCGGGTCGCCAAGGATCTGCAATGAGGAGAGTGAGTCAGAGTATATTGCAAGATATGGATAGTCTCTTTCTGCAAGCCTGAAGAGAGCATGGTTAATGGCCAGCAGCTCGGCCACAAAAACACTACAATTGTCAGAGACTGGGTGGAAGTTGTCCTAACAATGTCTCCATTTTTCTTCACAATAACCCCAAAACCAGTTCTGTATAGTTCATTTGTGTTAAAATCTTCATCATCGGCAACTCCCCTCCTAGAGCCATCTGTAAAAATTTAAATACAGGTGTCTGTTGGATTCGTTCTCCCCCAGCGCATCGCCATGCAATTGGTGGGATGGAACGAGGATGGAGGGATGACCATAGGAGTAGACGTGAGAAGTAAGGCAATGGATGGATCTAGGTCTGATAACCTCCAGCTCCACTTTATTCCTTTGATGGCGATTTCTTCTTTGATTTTAAGATGAATAGGTTTTACGCCAGCCAGTATCTGGAGGGCTTCTGTACTCGTAGTCGAGTATGCCTTTGTTATTGTTATGAGTCGAATCTTCAGGA